GGGGGGATTTATTAAGCAATTATGTATTGTCTGCACTGTATTAGCAGTATATACTCTATATAGAGTATATACTGCTAATACAGTGCAGACAATACATTTACAATTATACTAACATGAATGGATTAAATGATCTGTATGTAGCCCTGTACTAGGGATCATTTAACCCATTCATGTTAGCAGAGGATCATTGTAAATGTATTGTTGCAGGCACTCTATATGTACATGTACTATATACTACATATAGAATGCACTGAACAATAGATTTACAATTATCCTCTGCTAATATGAATGGGTTAAATGATCCATAGTACATGATATGTAGCCCTGTACCCCCTCTCCACTTACAGAGCTAGGTTATTGTTTTTCTTTTAAATAAATATTCATGTAATTTTATTGGTATCTATCTTCATTTTGTACATTTACCAGTAGCTGCCTCATTTACCACCCTCGGCTTATACTCGAGTCAATATTTTTTCCCAGTTTTTTGTGGTAAAATTAGGTACTTCGGCTTATATTCGGGACGGCTTATACTCGAGTATATACGGTAATTGTGCTCTAGTGTGAATAGAGCCTCCAGGCAATACACCAGCCAGATTCGGGCACACACCACGGGTGTCCCGATCCTCCACACAGGCAGTCCATCTTCTGGTTCCTGGATCCACATGTAAGTGTCAATATAGTGATTTTCTGCCATGTCTTGTCTAGTTAGCTAGTGCTCCGTTGTTTTTGCGCCCTTTGTGTTCCTTTGTGGATCTGCATTTACAGATTAGCCTTCCCCATCCGAGAGCGCTGTTTATGTTCTTTTGTTTTTTTGTGAATCTTTTGTGGCAATACTTTTTTACTCCTTACTTTTTTGTAATTACCTTAAGGCAGGTGATGTTAGGACCCCTAATCTCCATACTTGTTCTGAGTTGCTGAGTTAAAAATAGTAATGCCACTTGTGTATCCTAACAGCCAAGAAGCTAGAATTTTCAGGAGATTTCAGCAATGGCAGCCTCTATAATCCCTTATTGTTGATTTAGTTGCATCTGTACTAATTGTTTATTACCTTACAAGTCTGGTGCTGTAATCAGGACCTGCTTTCTCTGAAAAGTTATTTTATGTTGTAGATCCTGTACTCCAGTTTGCTGGCTTTGTGTTACATATTGTACTTTGCTAAGTTCCTGGGCTCTAAGGAGGCAGAAAAAAAATCATTCCCTTTGCACAGTATGAAGGAATTCTTACCTAGATACTGTGCATCTCAGGTGAGTACACATGGAATGACACAGTACTGTTGAGTTATACCTTTTGTTTACTTTTTCAGCAAAACAAAACTTGAAGACCCCACTCGTGTGGCCTGTTGTAGAGCTATGTATTAGGTATTTTCAGAGTGACACTAAAACATAATTTAAAAATCGTTTTGAATAGTTTTCCAAGGCGGGAGATGTGTATTGGCTAAACCAGGCAATTATTATGTCCTACAATACGTGATCCCCTTTTTGGGGACCTGTTCGTTTCCTTCCTCGGTCTTTATACAATGGTCCTGAAAACGGGTGTTTTTATTAAGTTAGCCAATAAAGGGTATCATTTAAACTTTCCATATCTAAATAATACAATAAAGCTTTTTTTCACATGAAAAACCTGACTAAAGAGAGCTGGAAGATCCAGCATAAGGTATCTGGATCATACTGAAGAGGGCACCATAAGAGTGGGACTTAAAGCCCATTTCCACCTTTGTAAGTGATTTGTATTTTTTTGTGGTAATGTAGAGGTGTAGGGGTGATGTACATGTGTGTGCATTGTCATGAGTCACAGTGCTGTTTTTCATACTTTATTTAATGGACTCTTTCACAGGCCAGAATCCTAGAAATTAAAAATTTCATATACAGGATCTTCAATCCATCTCTACTGAGGGTAGGGTTGTTATGTGTAAACTGCAATCAGCTGATTCCTCTCTGCTCTGCTGAGCTCACGCTGCTAATGAACAACCACACACTCCGCTCTATAGGAGACTAAAGCTGGCCATACACCTTACAATTATCTGCAGATTTTCTGTGGTCAGATGGAAAAGGTGCAACAGATTCCTCCATCTATGCTAAACTGTGTGGATGGAGTAATCTCCACCTGGGCCAATCTGTTGCACTTTTTCCATCTGACCACAGAAAATCTGCAGATAATTGTAAGGTGTATGGGCACCTTAAGAGAGCAGAGAGGAGAACTCCTTCATATGAGTCATCATCACATCTCCCGCCTTCACGATCACGCTCGGCCTTAGTTCTGTGACAGCGGCTCTATCCTCAACACCCATCCCCCCCGCGGCTGAAATGGATTCTTTCACTTCTCCTCGGATCCCCCGCTGCCTCTGCAGAGGAGAAGCTGAGCCCCCGTGTGCGTGGCCGAGCGGCAGAGGATCGGTGCATATCAGTGATAGTAACCAATCCACTGTGCAGGACAAACACTGGAGCGATCAGCTCTGCAGAATGAAAAGGATGCGATTTACATGACTTCCTGTTCATTCATGAGTTTCTCAATGGGGAGAAGCACTCTGTACAGAAGCTCCTCCCCATTCAGGAACTGGATATCGAAGCTCCACCAAGAGTTTAAAAAAATTAAATAGTAAAAAATCCTTGAGGCAGGGCGCTGGCTGACATCACACGCCTGTTGGGGGCACATGTTTTTCCCCCTTGCCTCGGGCACAAAAGGAGCTGGCTACGGCCATGCTCCCGTGGTGTTAGTGCGGCTGCGGGATGAATGTGTCAGATGCTGCAGATGGAAAGGGACAGGACACCTCTCCCCATGTGCAACGTCGGCCAAACGAGCACCACGGGAGGGCAGGACGCTGGGGCCTCTAGGACGCACTGGAATGTAAGCTGGCCGACTCCCTGCGTTCAGGGGCGGGAGGGGGTGTGGGGTTGTATTGAAGTCAATGGCATCGCAGCCATGCCCCCCGTCCACAGTGCGATCACCCGCACCCGGATTGCAGGCACATTAGTGCCTGCATTCCGGTCCACGGGGAATGCGATCTGCAAAAATAGTGCTTGCAGCAGTTTTGTGGATCGCACTGGACTGGAACGCAAGCACTAATGTGCCTGGGTTCCGGGTGCATGCGATCGCACTGTGGCCGAGGGTGTGCCAGCGGTGCCTGGCTGTGGTGCCATTGACTTCAATGCATCGCCACGCCCCCTCCCGCCCCTGAATGCAGGTGTTTTTTCGTTGGTAGATCTTATTGAGCTTGTCATTAGAAAAGTAGATCTCCAGACAAAAATTGTGGCCACGCCTGCTCTAGATCTTCTTTCTGTCACTGACTCTCCCTCAGATCTCTCCCTCTCTAGGGCCAGATTTACTCTCTCTGCTGCCCCAACTCCAGATTCCTCAATGTGCCCCCCTTCCCCCCACCACTCTTGATATTCTATACAAATTGTCCAGGGGACCGTGCAAAGTGACCAGGAGATTTTTTATTTTACCTGTGACTACTGTTGGAGGATTGTTGTGATTGCTAAAGAAATCCTTTATATTTTGTTCTGAGCGATTACTGAAGACAAAATATAACCGATTTATTTAGCAGTCGCTTACAACAATCCTCCAAATGTAGTCACAGGTAAAATTTAAAAAATCTCCCGGTCACTCTGCACTGCCCAGGGGCTGGTACCACTATGAATATTAATGAATGCACGTGCACGAGAAAAGCAAAGCATTGTGGGAAAAGGAGTCTTTCCACTCCCTACACTGTAGTTTCCACTGTACACAGCAGTCTGATGGCCATTTCAAAAAAACATGTGGAGCCTGAGAGGACAACTAAAAAAAAGTACGTTTTTGAGTTAATATCCAGGATCTGCATATGCTGGCATCATCTACACACCGCGTACATTGCTGGCATATGTTTTTTTTTAACCCCTTCGTGACTGACGACGTACAGTGTACGTCGCCAGCATCGGGGCTGTTTAAACAGACTCCCGGTGACTTTTGCCGCCGGGACTCTGTTTAAACTTGTAGAGCCGACTGTCGGCTTTACAACAGAAGCGATCCTGGCGACTTACCTGTCGCCAGATTGCTTCTGCGTCCCTGAAGAAGGGGCCGTAAAACTGTAGAAAGGCATCATGGCACTGTTTTTTATATTTCATTAAAAAAATGGGTATTTTGTTGTGTTTTGGGGCATTTAATTAAATTTTTCACTAAATATTGGGGTTTAATAAGGAGTTGCGCTAATATTGCGCAACATAAAAATTTGCAATTACCACCATTTTATTCTATAGGGTCTTGGCATTCAGAAAATATATAATGTTGGGGGGGTTTTAAGTAATTTTCAGGCCTAAAATGTGGAATATAACATGGGTGCAAAAAATGAAAAAAAGGCCTCAGTCATGAAGGGGTTAAATGCCCCGCAAAGGAAGAAATGTCTTTTAAGTGCCTACAGAAAATATTTGTAGACACTTCTATGAATGTGGCCACACATTGAAGGAAATAAGGTAAAGAAATGGCTGGTTTTGATTTTATTTATATTTTTCAAACAGGACTTCATAGACGGGAAACAGGCATGGCTAGCCTGGAGTTTCTTCAAGCAATCTTTTTTAAAGCAGATTCTAACAGAAGGTGAGTCGTTTGGATACAGTATCATAATCATTTTGGTAATTTTTGTCAGTAGATGTGCAAGCCTTCCCAGTAGGATAAAGTAAACGTTTACTCCATTTTAAGCTTTAAAGAATAGACGTCAGCTTAAAAGTAGGGATGCACCGATACCACTTTTTTAAGACCGAGTACCGATACTTTTGATCAAGTACTCGCAGATACCAATTACTGATACTTTTTCTTAAAGGGACAGGTCACATTTTTTCTAAAGCAATACAAACTAATGCTTTAAGGTCACTTTCTTAATAATATGATTCATGAGATGACGAGGGAGCATGACGCCAATCAGAATGCCGGGCGCTGCATCATTACACGGCGCCCGGCTTCCGGATTTGCTAGCTTCCTGACCAATCGGGAAGCCGTGCAGCGCGTCATTGCACGCTACCCGGCTTCCTGATTGGCCGGGAAGTCGGCTTCATGCTCTCTCATCACAAGTGGTGTAATGATGTGCTGCCCGGCTTTCTGATACAGGAAGTACTCGTGCTAGGTATCGGAGCATTTGGGCGAGTACGAGTACTCACCCAAATACTCTGTATGGATACCGATACTAGTATCCCTACTTAAAAGTATACACCAATGAATGCCAGCTGTTACCTTTTGTTAGCCATAAAAGGCTCTCCTGTGCCCTTTTTTGATTTACTGTATTTTGCGCTCCATAAGGCGCACCGGGCCATAGGACGCAGGTTCTGTCACAGGTTCTGTGACAGAAGCTGGCGTTAGTGACCGCTGAGACAGGTGGCACTATGATTACAGCGCCACGGTCTGTGACCACACAGAGCAGATGAAGAATGGATGTTCTTCGTCTGCTCTACGGGCTCTATGGTGAGCTCCTATGCCGTGGTCACGGGTCCCCCAGAGGAGCGGGGGACCCCGAAAACCATGGCGGGGGTGGGGCCCCAGACTCGCCTGCCGCCGCTCCGGTTTTAATACAAGTGATCTGATTAGATCACTTGTATTAAACGAGCAGCGGCTCCCACTGTACATTTAGCTCTGCTTTAGCAGGGCTAAATGTACAAAAAACTACTCGCCCGGCACCCGAAACTGCATGTTCCGGGAGTCGGGCAATAGGGATTCGCTCCATAAGACGCACACATTTTCCCTTCGCCTTTTGGGGGGGCAAAAGTGCGTCTTATGCAAAAAACAAAGTATGTGATCGGTGATGAATTGAAGAGTGAGTCTAGGATCCATCCATTTCCTTTGGGGTCCCCTTGTTCTGTTTATCTATATATTGGTATATATTAGAAAACATAAAAAATACATCAGGGACATGATTGATTTTAAAAATGGGAAAATATATAGATGGCAAACCACAGAAGATGAATGTATTGATAGTTGTAATACGAGCACCAAAGACCCGGATGATAAAGAGGATAATATTAATTATGATGATTTACATTGGAAGCCAATCAAAAAGAGAAAGAGGGATAGAGAAGGAGGGATAGAATCCATTCCCAAAACAGTGAAAGAAAACCCTATGCCTAGATTAGAGCTCTCACAGAGATTCCACCCCCTATTACAGGAGGATAGAGGGGGAATTGAATATGAGGATGCTCTTAACCAAGTAAATGATCGAGAACATAAAAATACTAACCACCATTTTTTAGGAGAAGCCCAAAAACATCATTTTTTAGGGGAGGCTCAAAAACACCCCACCCCAAGACGAATTCCCAAAAGACCTTTCACAGGACACCCCTCCGCCGTTGGGGAGGACCCCAGATGAGAAACACAGTGGGTCAAAATACGAATTACGGACTAGTGCGCACCCCAAAGGGGACAGTTTGGAGACATTGATACACGCTGGTGTGGGGATAAGTTATTTAGTAATCTACCATCTTGAAACAAGTGTTGAAGATTTCACTGGACTCACTCTTCAATTCATCACCGATCACATACTTTGTTTTTTGCATAAGAAATGAATCACCAGTTGGGATTGTTTTAAAGTTGTATTGTCCATGGGCAACATAACCGTGCACAAAATTTTAGGTATTATTTTATGCAGTTTTTCTTTTCACCAGGAGGATATAAGAGTATAACAATTGTTTATGTTGTGGCATTTCACAAATATATTTTTCACCGCCATTGGAACACAATAGATTATTTTGTCACCATATATATTAAATTTGTATATTCACTTTATAGAATTCCCTACCCCTTAGGATCAATTAACATTGTTTGTAACTAATTTTTATATACCCGAAGAGGGGATTACACTTTATTCACTTTAATAGCGCTGCACACTCAGAATTTTTTCATTAAGTTATTCAACTACCAGCCCATGTTCAGTTAGAATACCCTCACTGGCCACCACGGCAATCTGTATGGTGAAATTGTAATGGACACAATTTAGTCATGAAGCCCGGGAACGTAATGCCCTGGTAACAAAAGGAAACTAAATCACATAGGAGCTAATAAAGTTGATAGCATCTTGCAGTGTTTGCTGCTAATCAGGATATTTAGTTTAAAGGCATAAAATAGAAACTTGGCTTAGTTTATCCCATGTTCAAGTAAAAATAAAAGCCCTTTGAAAATTAATTTTGTTATTTCTAGCTTGTAGAATTCACTAGTGGTAACTCAGTGCTCTGGTAAGGTAATTTCCTGTCTTGTTCATATGTCTTCAAGGGAGTAAACACAAGGCTGGTGGATTGTGTCCTTATTCGCATACACTATATATGTGGCCAAGTCATTGCAAGCAAACTGGGTCACAGTAAAGGGGCTGGGAGATGGAACACATTGAACATTTTGATGATGATTAGCTAACTAGGGCTGTAACTAAATTGACTCACCATGGCAAAAAATGGTTGTGAATTTCATGGACAAGAGATACCTGCTTTTTCCCTTCATGGGAGCACCTGACAACTAGACTTTTATTTGTGTCCTTTACTTCCATTTAGGTGAACGTTATGTAATGACATTTCTGAATGTCCTGTCATTTGGTGATCAGGGTAAGTTTTTACTACACATCTGCTGTTTATTGCTTGAGATCTTTGTCTTTAAAGCCAATTTCCACTATTGTAAGTGATTAGCATTTATTATAGTAATGTGTAGAGGGGCAGTGATGTATATGTGTGTACATTTTCATGACTTACATTGCTGGCTTTCTTATTTTTGTGATGGGACTTTAAGTAGGCCTGAGTCCTTCAAATTGAAAATTTTCTCCACAGGAAACTTTGGGGTACCTCTATGAATACTAATGAATAGAGGGAGAGAGTGTTAAATTAAAACACTTGCAAAGCACAGAGGCGACCATTTTAAAAGGAGCCATGAGGAGATGAAGAAGACAAAAAAAAGTAAGTTTCTGTGTATTCTGTATACAGCAACTACATATGCCTACTTCGTGTGTACTCAAGTGTAAATTGCTGGCATATGTTTTTTTTTAAACCCTCCACAAAGGTGGAAATGGGCTTTAATTGTGTGTGTGCCTCCCCACCCCCCCCTC